GATCCCAGGACCCTCGGATCATGACCTGAGCTGAAGGCAGATGCTTAGTGACTGAGCTAGCCAGGCACCCCGGCTTGGTTTATTTTTTAATTCTTTTAGCTTTTTTCCACTCTCCATTTCAGTTTGGATAGTTTCTGTTACATTGCCTTCAAGTTCAGTGATCTCTTTTTCTTCGGTATATACTCTGCTGTTAAGCCCATCCACTTAGTTTTTTATTTCTCGTGTTGTATATTTCAGCTCAAGAGGTTCTTTTTTTTTTTTTTTTGTAGTTTTCATTTCTGTGTTGGGATTCTTTATCTGTTCCTTCATTGTGTTTGTTTTCCTTTAAACCCTTCATATGCTTAGATATTTGTGGTAGCTGTTTTAAAATACTTGTCTGTTAATACCATCTTCTCTGTCATTTCTGGATCTGTTTTTGACTGATTTTCCTGCTGAGTATGGACCCGTTTTCTTCACATGTCTCGTAATTTTTTAGTTTACACTAGACACTGCAAGTGCTGTGTTATCGAGGGCTGAGTTGGTTGTTGGTTTTTGTTTTTGTTTTAACAAGGTTGATTTTTTGTGTTTGTGTGTGATAAGCAGTTAATTTACTTGTCAAAGCATTACCTTTTTGGAGGTCTCCTCTGAATGCCCTGGATGTTCAGTGAGGTCTCTTCACCCTGTCTAGTTAGAACTCGAGCATGTCCCTGCCCTGTGTGAGCTCCAGGATAGTTGCTGTTCCCTCAGTAGCTGCTCTTTGCCTGGCATGAGGAGTCTCTGCCCGCGTGTGTGCACACTGGTATTCAGCTAAAGACTCAGGTACGTTTCTGGAGCTCCTTCCCTGAGCAGCTCCCTCCTCTCTGTGACTCTGACCTGGAAATCCCAGGCACTTTTTCCTCTCTGAACTTTCTCTGTCTGTCCGGCTCAGCAAAACACACCATTCTCTGCTTGGAGTCCCCTTTCAATACCGTAGTTTGGAAAGTGCCTCCAGGCACTGGAAAGCCAGCTCGGTCTTGAGGCTCGCTTCATTTGTTTCCCTTGTCTTCAGTATCACAGCCTGGCACACAGTGTTTGCTGTCCAAAGTCTGAAGACAGTTGTGTCTTATATTGTGTAAAATATTGTGTCCCGGCTTACAGTTATCTTTGGTGGGAGGACTAGTCTGGTACCATGACTTCTTCAGAGTCCGAAGCAGAACAGATGGTTAAGAGCGTTCTGAAGTCATCAGCCGGGACAACTTTTGACTTCCGCACAGCACTGGTTATCATTGGAAATCAGTCTTTGGAAATAATACTGCCCTCCCTGAAAGAACACAGAGGCATGCAGGGTCATTTTTGGTTATCACGGTGACCAGGCGCTACTGCCATTTGGTGGCCGGTGGCTGGGGACGCTGAATGTCCAATAATGAGTGGAAGAGTCTAGCCCAGCAAAGGCTTGTCTTGCCCAACTTGCCAGGAGCATTCCAGTGAAGAACACTGCCTCAGGAACAGCTCCCAGGGCCTCCTTACCTTCTCTCCACCACTACCCTCTTCTAGCTGCTGCTGCTTGCAATTTAGGGTTCAGCACACACCTCACTTTCTAGGGAAAGCCTTCTCGGTCTCCCTACACTAGGTGAGGGTCCCCAGCCTGATCTTCCAGTGATCAACATTTGCTTATCACCACTTCCTCTACCCCAGTTACTTCCTCCTTGTCTGGCACTCGTTCCTTAGTTCCTGGTGTATCACAGGTGCTCACTAGGTATTTGTGGAAGGGATGGATGGATGGGCAGACGGACGAAAGCTAAATCTTTATGGCTGCCTAGGCAGTGGTGGGTTGACACAGGTCAACCAGAGTGCCCTCAGATCACTTACTGGGGGTGGTGACCATGTGGGGCAAGTGCTGCCAAAGAGGCCCACACGAGGCTCACTTGGTCACATGGAGGCAGGGTGCCTTCTATTTGGGGGACAAACGGACAAGACGATGTCAGTCCCCACAGAGGGTATCGAGACAGCCTCCTGGCTCGTCCCACTGCAGAGACACAGGCGTTTGCTGGCGTGACTGTAGCAGTTGGCACGGGACGGGTTGGCACGGGGCAGGCGGGGCGTCACCTGCCCTCCTCGCCTGCCGGGCCGTGTTCCCTCTGAGGTGCAGGGCATAGAAACTCAAGCCTTGGTTTCCCCTGAGCTTCAGCTTATGGTAGAGCGAGTGCTAATCCCCCTGTGGAATAAACGTGGGAACCTGTGTTCTATGGGGAAGTGTTCGGCCCTCCTCCCTTGAGCTGTCTCCAGTTTTACTTAATACACCAACCTCAGATGGCCTCACCTACTGCTATTCCATCGACCTCTCAGAGCGAGTAGCACTGAAGCTTGACCAGAAGTTCCCCTTCAGCCTCATGAGGAGGATTTCGGTGTTCAAGTACATCTCAGGCTCTTCAGCTGAAAGAAGGGCAGCCCACAGCCGGAAGTAAGTTACAAAACTCTTCACGCTTGTTCCAGGGCCCGTAGAGAGTGTGACTGGTTCAGTATCGCAGGAAAAAGGGATAGGGTATGTACAGTCCCGGGCCCAGAACGTCCACGCACAGATGTCTTCTGAGTGCTCCAGATCCTGCCCAGCTGCATCTGAAGTAGGGACTGAGCCGAAAGGGGGATGGGAAGGCATCTGAAGTGCTCACGTATACCCCTGAGTGACTTGGGACAGACCGTGGGAGGGAATGGCCCCATCAAGTGTTGTTACCAGCCCTCAGTGCTGCCCAGCACCCCACGCAGGTCCCCCTGGGCTCTGGCATGGAGCCCTGGTGAGAAGCAGGCAGTCCGCATGGCTGACTAGGCGGCTGGGACGTGAGACAGCGCAGGACCTGAGAGGTAGCGTTTTCTCGGCCGCCCAGCAAGAGAAGGTAAGGTTTCGGGTCTTCCAGACCAGGCTCACTAACTCCATGGAAGGTGCTAGGCAAGCCGCCCAGGCTTACATAGCCTCACTCCGTCCCATCAGAGAGGAGGCCCAAGGAGGACAGGAGTCTCTTTAGGTAACACAGGCAGGAGAGCCCCATCTAGAACTAGGGTCTCTTCTTCCAGGTCCTATTCACCCCCTTTCTGCTGTTTCCCCACTGCCGGCTTCTCTGTCCTTCCCTGGGTGCATCCATGCTGAGACTTCACCACATAGATTTTCTTTCCTTCAGGGTTCCCTCCAAAAGAAAGGACTTGTGTGAAGTTCAGGTGCTTTTACCTTCAACCAGCTGTGGAATAGAGTCTGAGCTCCGTGCTGGCCTGGACGCAGGGTTTAGGTTGAATTGGAAGCTGCTGTTTGTAGCTTATTTGAGGAGGCGGATGCCCCCCAGCCTTCACCAGCTCAGGGCCCTTTGACCATGTCTTTAAAGGCGGGGACATCAGGGGCGGGGGTGTTGGGGGGTACTGGGAAAACCAGGAATACACACTCACCCAATTTCAGGCAAGTGATCCCTGGGGTCTAAATATGTGGGAGACAATTGAAATTTAGTTAGGTGTATGGAGGCTTTTAGGCTTTTAATTGCTGTTCTCATAGACTCGAGAGGGGACTTCAGGGGTCCTTGGGTACAAGCTCGCACCCTGTGAAGGAGCCCCCTCTCAGACAGCTGAGGGTGGTTGCCTCAGCCTCCTGGCTGGGGGCTCATCTCCAAGGCAGCCCCTGACGAGAAAGTTCTTCCATGCGGAACAGCAGCTGCCTCGCTGTAACTGGGACACTTTGGTGCCAGGTCTAATTCTGTCTCATCATGATAGACAGATCTGGGGTCAGGGAAGTGGTGACCCTTCAGGTCCTTCCGTGTCCCTCACATGGCACGTATAGAATGGCTCATTATCCCGGCCTGCTACGGGCCCCCAGAACAGAACATAATGTCTCAGTTGGCCCGACAATGGGACACAGGTATTACAACGTGCGTGTTGTTTTTGGCAGTTACACAGCGGTCTGGACACTTTTGCCTCCTGGAGGCTCTTGGCGAGCTTCTGATAATCCAGATTCTCTGCATTTCCAAGAATCCCAGAAGAAGTGAGATGTTAATGTTACGTGCTTTGTTCCTGTACTTAAGCAGCTGATTTGATGGGTTTTTTTAAAAGCTTTATTTATTTTAGAGAGGGGTGGAGGGGGAGAGGCAGAGGGAGAGAGAATCTCACGCAGACTCCCTGCTGAGCTTGAAGCCTGACGCAGGCTCGATCTCGTGCTCCTGAGATGACCTGAGTCGAAACCAAGAGTCAGACGCTCAACTGACTGAGCCACCCAGGTGCCCCCTTAAGCAGCTGATTTGTCAGGTCAGGTTTTAACTGAAACATGTATGGATTCAGTCCAGTCACCTACCACAAACACCAGTCGTATTCGCCATCATTCTCCATATTTGAAACCCTGCGCAGAAGTTCAGAGGATAAAACCCTTGGGCTGTGTCTCCATTTGTGGTCCCAGCCACACGTGTCTGTGGCGGGCCGGGGTGGGGGGTCTTTCATCTCCAAGGGCGCAGCTCCGCACATCTGGCCTATCGGTTCCTGCCGGCCAGGACTTTGAGCTGTGCGTCTTCACTCCCGAAGCCACAGGTAGAAAACCTCACAGCAGACAAGGCCTGGGCCCAAGCCCTGTGTTACCCCACTCGAGCCCTCCTGCCCTCCCTCCCACAGAAGTTGGCCCATTCTCTTTGGGTAGCATCACTGAGCTGGCCATAGAGACAGTGACGGCTGCGATCCGATCGGTCCCATCTCCGTCTGGGGGACAAACTGCTGCGAGCAGTTACGCCTCAGGTGGCCTTAGTCATGAGCCCCGTGTCCTTTCATTCTACAGGCTTACTGCGGGACTGTGAGTGGGCCCTCCCCTCTCAGGCATGTTTTCTGACCGGTTGAGCTTAACCTGTCTCCTCACTTGGTGCTTGGAGCTAGTTACAGAAAATGTCCAAAGCAGGTTGTCACACAAAGTGGTCCGGTGACCCCGAGCCTTTCTCACATCCAACGACTACTGGGGGCCTGGGTGTTAACAGCTGAGTGACCATCTTCTCTCTTGTTCCGTTCCAGGCTGAACCCCGTGCCCGGCTCCTACCCCACGCAGAGTGGCCACCCTCACCTGTCCCCGAGCCACCCTGTCGCCCAGATGCAGCATGCCAGTGGCCAGAAACTAGCCGCCTGGCCGGCTTGTGCTCCTGGCCACATGCCCAGCCTGCCTCCGTACCAGCCAGCTTCTGGCCTGTGTTACGTACAGAACCATTTTGGCACAACCCCCAACTCCTCCGGCGTCTACCCGGCTTCCGCGGGTGCCTCCCTGGGGGTCCAGCCCCCCGCCCCCCTCAACTGCCCTGGCACGGTGTATTCTGGGGCCCTGGCCACCCCAGTGGCTGCAGGCTCCAAGGAGTGCTCAAGGGTCCTGATACCCTGACAGGGAATTTCTAGGGAAGTTATCTCACATCTTGGCTTTCTGAAGAAGGTCCTCTGTGAGCGAAGCTAAGATTTTCTCGACAAAAAATTATTTATCGAACACCTCTATGTGCCAGGCTCTGTGTCGAGTATTTTGATATGTATCCCTATTCCAGTCCTCATGACAACTATGTGAAGTGCAGTTTATCGTCCCCAGTTTACAGACGCAGAGGGCGAGATGCTCTGTGATTAAGTCACGTAGTTCTGTAGCCGCCCCGCTGGGCTGCTTGGCCCCTGGCCCAGGGCGCCTCCCACCTGCCGCCCTGCCTCCCGAAGAACATCTGGGAGAAGAGCGCACTGGGGTGGTCAGTGGCTGCCAGGGGCTCGTTCTAGCTCTGTGTTTCCTTCCTGTCTTCGTGTGTGGTGCTCTTGGTTCTAGTGTTCGTGCGTCTATGTCTGCCCTTCGGGAGCTCCCAGCCGGTGCGCTTGGCAGTCCCGGGGCCCGTGTAGTGTTGCTCCCCTACAGTGACCACCCCCCGCCGCCAGCCTTCTGCCCCAGGAGCGGTGCAGTGGGCCATGGTGAACCGCAGCAGCATGCTGATGGATCCATAGTGTTGATTACCTTTGTATAAAGAAACCGCCTCCAACCTGCTCATGGTGCCTGGTGTCTCTGTGGTCTGGCTGGGGCTAGAGAGGGCAGAGTTGGGGCAGCAGCAGGGTGGGGTGTGATGGCGAAGACAAGTGGATCAGGTTGAACCAGGCAGACGACCTCCACCCGGTGGAGATCTGACACGGGGGTGGGGGGGCGTGGGGGGGGGTCGAGTGGCAAAGGAGCTGGGATAGCTGAAGGGGGAAACAGGAAGCTTGGACAACCCTAGGATTGGCAACAGCGGGAAGCCACTGCTGCCCCTAGGGGGCACCTCCAAGCTGGGACTGCGCGAGGAGGGGTTGCCTGGCACAACCTCATCCCAGTGCTGGCCTCTGAAGCCAGAGGCGCTGAGAAGAGGCTGGCCCCTCTGCCCATCGTCTCATCTACCATCAGGGCTGCCCGTGGGCCAGATCCGCCAGAACGCACTGGCAAGTGAGCTCAGGAAATGGAGTTGGCAGGGTGAGCCCCTCTGATGCAGGGCAGATGGAGGATAGGAATGTGCCTGAGCCCACAGGTGCCTGCCCGGCCTGAGAACTGTGGCTTCTGATGAGCCAGCCATCGGCTGGAGCTCCCTGCGGCCATCAAGAAGGCACGCCGACTGGCAGGTGTTTTCATAGACCTTACGATGTGTGACCTTGATCTATTCCAGAAGCTGGATGGCCAAGTCTGGGCTGGCTTTTTAATAGGTCCTGGGTATCAGAGGTGAGTAAGACACACCCACAAGTGCACCCAGCCCAGTGAGGGCCGGGCGGTGACAGGCACATACCGGGGTGGCCTGCCCTGGGTGAGGGGGCTGGGGACAGATTGTCGAGTAGGATTCCCCGGCCGAGGAGTTGGGTGCCCTGACTGCAGCTGAGAGTTGTGGGTGGTCCCAGAGCAAGTCTGGCAGGACCCAGCCTGGGGCCTCTGTTCTCCAAGCACAGGGTCACTCGGTGGGTACAGGCTGCTATGTGTCCCCTCAATGCTTTCCCAGTCCCGGGCCTGTATCCAGCAGCAGGCGAGAGGACCACCTGCTCCCAGCGTGACGGGGTCACTTCCCTGGCGTAGGGCCTTCCTGCGTGGACGGGCTGGCAGGTGCTACGGAGGCTGTGGGCCATGGACATGGTCGGGCTGGGGGGCCCCGTCACGGGTCCCCGAGTCACACAGCTGGGAGGGGCCTCAGAGGTCATTCAGTGCCACCATCTCCTCCATCCCGCTTTTACTCGTGGGGTCCCAGGGAGGCAGGAACAGCTCGGGCCGCTGCAGCAGTTACTGCTCTGACTCGTGCTTCCACGTCCATGTGTTTCCTGGAACTTTCCTTGGTTTCGCCACGGTGCGTGGCTGGCAGCCTGGAGCCAGGGCAGAGGAGGGCTGTTCCCCCACAAAAAACAATAAGCATGATCTATTTTCTAGGATCCCCTGGAGGGGATCCCAAGCCCTTCCCCATTTACCTGTTGGATCCAGCCCCAGAGCACCTGCTGTCCACGAACACTGAGCATATGCTGAGGCCGTGGCTAGAGACTCAGGTGAAGGCAAGCGCACAGGCCTGGCGCTTAATAAGTAGCTGTTGAATGCATAAATGAGCAGGGGATCCCTGCCCTCAGGGAGCTCAGGGGTGGGAGCGATGGCCAAACATGGACTTGAAGCTCCATCGGGCACTCGTTGGAGGCTCCCAGACCAGTCTGGAGAGCTGGAAACCGGTTGGATGCCAAGCACACCCTCTTCCGTGGAGGGAGGCACTCACCGCGACTGTTGTTAGCACGTTCAGCTTAAGGGAAAGCCATTATTCCCTGCTCACTAGAGACCTCTCTCCTATCCCCAGGCAAGGCAGGACTCATGGCTGCCAGAGAAGCTTCCAGATGTCTAGTTTCCCAGCTTGGCCAGCAGGGGGCGGTTGCGACAAACATCCCCTGGGGTCAGCTGTGCTCTGGAGGCTGGGGGTCCAGGAGGGAAAGGCTGGCTTCTGTCCTGTGAGGGAATCGGACCTGCAGACAATGCCAACAGCAGAGCTGAGAGCGACCACTGAGTTCCAAGCCTGTGCTAGGCCCTGGGGACCTGAAGGTGGAAAAGAACCAGCCACTGTTGGTTAAGGGAGACTTGCTTTATAGAGATGGAGTGAGAGATGGGAGCCCATCTAGGGGAGTCAGAGAAGACCCTCCTGAGAAGAGGAGGGGTCACTGGGCAAGGGCAGGGTGGACGGCAGCCTCAGCAAAGACTGGAAGGTGAGGCTCCAGTAGCCAGGGGAGGGGAAGCATGTGAGTATGGATGCTGGGAGGGCAGTGGGGAAGAGATGGTTGCAGTAGCCCGAAATGGATGTGGTGAGAGCCGCCCTGAGACCCTGGCAGTGGGCTGGACAGAAAGGCAAAGCGACCTTCTGGGGTTACTCAGCTTTTCCACCCGAAGCCCAGTGCTCCTGCCCTGCCTGAGGGTGCCTGCTCACTCCCAGTGAGTGGGGCGGGGGTGGGGGGGAGGGAGTAGGCTTGGAAGCAGGACAATCCTATAGAATACCTCGAGGTTCCCCCAAGGGTTGAGAAGGAGGAGCTGGTCTCCGAGTTGGGTGCTGGACTTGGGGCTCCAGAGACCCACAGGGGCACCTCTCCCGGCCTCCACCCCAGGATGCTTCCTGAGTCTGATATGCTGGTCCATGCCTGGACGGATGCCAGCTGCAAGAGCAGTGCCCCAACCTGGACCCGGAGCTTGGCTCCTCGGGGACTGTCCTGCCATCTCCAGAGCATAGGCTGCCTGAGACCTTGCTCTGGGGTCCTGTTGTGAGCCTAGAGCCCCTCCCCAGGAAAGATCTGCAAAGGCTTGCCTGCCCAACCCTGCCCTTGAGCCATGGCCAAGTCACTTCCTAAGGTTGCCTCCTTAATGGAACCCCTTCTGGGGGCCTAGCTACAGTCCCGCCAGGAGCCAGTGGCCGGTGGGCTGCCCTAGAGGCGGCGCTGGGACGGTCCGGGCTTTCCCGGTGTGCGGGGCCGTTGGAACCACAGAGGGTGCCCCCACCGCAGGCACGTGTAAACACAGGCGACGTTTTGAACTCACATATCTGAGTTCTCACCCACATCAATTTCACTGCAAACAGGTAGGTTTGCAAAATGCAAAATGCACACACATGTGGTTAAGGCACACACACGTATTCATACCTGTACGTGCACAAAATCAAGCACAAGCTGATCTGTGCACAAGTACACACTGTATATACATGTTGTTTCCCGGGTAGGGAGCAGCTAATCCCCTCCCTGCCCCCTGCCTTGCCCAATCTGACCCTAGCCTACCTCCCCAGTCTTCTCTCCCACCACCCTCCCGCCTTCCCCCCACACCCCCTGCTCCTGGCACTGTGCGAAATGACCAGATGGCTGGCAGGAAGCATCTGAAAATGAGCAAACTTCAGAAACAGGCATGGCCACTTGTGGCTTGTGATGAGCAGGGCAATAGAAAGCCCTCTGGACCCAAACCTCCCCTTCTGTGTGCCTATCACGCACTACCTGGAATTCTACCATCAGAGGCCCATTCCTCTGAATTAGGCTCCTCAAGGTTCACCATTGAAGGGGAGCTGGAAAAGACCATGATTCCAGTGCTCACACTGTACTCAGAAATGTGAGGCCCAGAGAGGGGAACTTCTTTGGCTAAGGACACACAGCAGAGAACCCAGGTCCCCTGACTCTTGTCTTTGCTCCGCTGTTCTGGTCGCTGGGTGGAGGAGTGGGCTCATGGACAGCCAGGACAAGAGGCAGGGGCTCTCATGTGTCCCAGCTGAGTCTGCTAGAGTGTGTTGACCTCAGGAGCCTAGGCACGGAGACCAGGGCCCTGGTGCTCACGGGGCATCCCAAGGCCCTTCCATCAGACTCTCCTGCGGTGGGTGGTGGCACTGGTGTGTGGGAGTACTCCAAACCCTTCTGGGATGGCTGGGAACTCTGTGGAGGGACCCCTTTTCCTATCAGGCTGGGCCAGGCCCTGGCCAAACTGCAGCCTGGGATCTCCCTGGGGAGCAGCGAGCAGAGAGGGCTCACCCTGAGCCTGGATGCGACTGACCTCTGCCCTGCCCGTAATCCCATCCCCCTCCCCTTGCAGAGACCAGCCCCACCTTCACTCGGGCTCCTGAAGAGAGATCTCAGCAGAAGACATAAGGGCACAGGAGAAATGTTCTCCCCCAGACCCCGGCCCTGCCCCCAGCCCCATGCAGGGCCACACCCCCTGTCCCCTCCACAGAGCCCAGGCCTCACCCAGGAAGAAACAGATCAGGGTGATGGGGAGCGCAGGGTGGCCCCACACAGCACCTGCACGCAGGGCCTCAGCAGCCCACCCACCGCCAGGGCAAGGGGCCCCTCTCCAGGATCCACGCTTCAGTCCCCGCCCCCACTGTTGGTGCAGCCTCCTGGCCCAGCTTCAATCATGCCCAGCCCCCAGCGCCCCTCAGTCAGTGTTGTGGATTAAACTGTGTTCCCCAAAAAGATACGTTGAAGTCCTAACCCCATCCCCGTGAACATGATCTTTGGAAATAAGGCCCTTGCAGATGTCATCCAGTTAAGATGAGATCACACTGGAGTAGTGTGGGTCTTAAATCTGATCACTGGTGTCCTTGTAAGAAGGCCACGTGGAGTCACGGGGACACAGAGATGCAGGGAAGGGGCAGCCATGTGAAGACAGAGGCAGAGATTGGAGGATGAGTCTACTAGCCAAGGAACACCAAGGATTTCTGGAAGCCTTCAGAAGCTAGGGAGAGGCAAGGGACAGATTGCTTCCTAGAGCCTTCAGAAGAAGCATGGCCCTGTCAATGCCTCCACTTGGGACTTCTGGCCTTCAGAACGGTGAGACAAAGCATTTCTGTTGTGGGAAGCCACCCAGGGGTGATTTGTTACAGCAGCGTTGGGAGACGAAGACAGGCAGGGCCGTCTCCCCAGGGAGCTGCATTCGGCACATCACCATCCTGCTCAGAACCTCCGAGAGCCCCCCACCAGCTGACACTCAAGGCCCTGCCGGAGGCCCCCACCCCACCCCTCGCCACCTTCCCGCTTGGCTCCAC